GATCCGCCTGCCCTACATGATTATTTCATCTAATTGATTAAGTAATGTTTTACCCTTGATAGCCAAGTGAATAAGAACAGTGACGACCAGTAGTCTATGGTTTTTATTGATATCTGGCAAACAAAATTTCCAGCTGAATATAAAATGTGGCTATAATCAGTAATAACTTATTATAAAAACAAATGTCATTTTAAGTCAATCAATTTAAGGCAAATAATTTTGTCAAAATTAATTTTTTACCAATTGACAATTAAGATGTTCCATTTCATTCAAAAATGCAATTCAATTACTTGATTGTAAATTAAAAAAATCGAAATCGAACAAATCGTAACTGAATCATCAATGAAAAGGCATGTATACTTTACTTGTCTTTTTTCAACAGTTCATGAAATACCTGAGCTTGGGTATTTTGCTGATTCATGAACATTTGCATGAACATTTGAAACTGTTGTTGCTGGGTTTTCATTTGATCTTGGACCTGCCTTACCATTTCCTGCTGTTGCTCAAAACATTCTTTGTTGTTCAACTTTCGCTCTTTCTTCCTGCTGCTTCTTTATTTCCAACTCTGCCTTTCTTAACTCGAATTCTTTCTCAGTGGATTCTTTTAGATATTCCATGGCATCATTTTGTTTCCTTCTCTTTTTTGGTGTGTCACTGCCATCTTTCTTTTGTTGCGAGAGGCGTTCCATTGCCTTGTTTCTCATTTCCTCTGCCAACTCCTTATTTTTCTCCATCTTCTTTTTATCTTCCTCTGATGATTTCTCGGCCAACTCCTCCTGCTCGTCTCTTAACTGAATGCAGTTTTCCATAATTTCATCCAGCTCGGTTTTTTCTGGAGAAATCCCAGATGCGCTTTTTTCGGTCCTTTCTTTCTTCTTAAATTCCCTTTCCATAATTTTCATCCTGTCCCGAATGGCCTTCTGAGAAACAGTMAATGTAGGTTTCTCTTGGCGACTGTTTAGACTCTCTGCGATTCTGTCTAGGCAGTTTCCTCGTTCCCGGCTCCCTGCTTTGAACTTCCACAACTCAAAAAGCATCATCTCTCTTCCTAGAAAAACATCGTGATCACTTGACCATTTCATTTGTGAAATCCTATTCAAAAAAAAAAGTATTACAAATTATAATGGAATCAACAGAAAAGTTTCAGTGCACAATTTTCTTTAGTCTTTGTTTGATTTGTTTTTTGTTTTTGGAGGAAGATTTGTTTGTTTGTTTTTTTTTGTGTGTCTGTGTGTCTTATGTTGTTGTTATGTTTTCCCTTTGACTAATTATTTCTATTTATCTCAATGATAAAAATATTTTTACACCGGCTTACACCAAACAAGGAACATGTCTTAAAGTGGTTTAGCTAATCAGGTTTTTAGAAATATCTACAAACACTGAACAACCTTTTTGGTGAAATAAGCTTAATGCATGTAAACTATCCGACATCTT